AAGAATTGACTTGAAAAGGGATTGATTTTCTTGTCCTGATTGGAAAAATTTAAAAGGATGTAAAATGAGTAAATAATTTTTGGATTTTTAGTTTATAAAATGGATACGAATGAGATAAACAAAGAGAATTAACAAGTGATAGCAAATGGAAAAGCAATCCTCTAGCACAATGATTAAGGCTATCATTACTTCGATTAATTTGGGAGCTAGCTAAATTCAAAAGACTCTAAGGGCCACCCCTTAGACTCGGTTTAATTAGAATAATCAACACCAAGCCACCTTGCATATTAATTATTCACAATTAAACTGTTTCAGCACAATTAGCCAAAAAGAAAATCAAAGAAAAGCAATTAACATTTTTAGTCCAATAACCAAGCCACCTTGAATTATTACTAAATGTTCACAATAACTTCAAAACATAGTCTGACCCAGTACAATGTAAAGAAATTAAAGCTAATCACAGCATAATGTTAAATACTAATCAAAGATTCCAACAACTACAGCTAATCTCAATACAAATATAAATCATCACAGTCCATTCAAACATTATAAAATTCATTCTAAGACCTAGAAATCACAATTATAATGAAAGAAGTAAAGATTAGAAGAGTTGAAACTCCCCTTTGAAGCTCTAAGTTCAAGCCATAACCATTGCTCTAGAGAATTGGAAGGATTTAGCTGCTCCTAACCATCACCACAGCTCCACCAAAATTCCAATTCGGTTCAGCCATGAAGAACAATGAAGATGGCATCTGGAGGAGTGATTTTGCTGTGAAGCTATGGTCCTTCGTTTCGTTCTGGCGTCTGCTTCTGGTTCGTGCGTGCGCCTCCTCTATTTTTTTTCCTCTGCCGCCAGCCGCGTGTGTGCGCTCTATTCCTTGCGTCTCCTGCCTCCTGGAGAAGATGATGAATATTGGATTATTAGGGTGACGTTTTGCCCCCACCTATTTTTTTTTAAATTTTATTTTTCTTTTCTTTTCCTTTTTTTTTTAATTTTTAAATCTTCCAAGAATCTGCAAGCAAAATTCAAGGATAAGGTAGCATTAATTGTCCTAAAAAATCAATTAGTCACAATTAAATCAAAATATGACAATTTTGCCCCTATAAAATAATAATTCAAAATAAAATAAAATAAATCAATTAAGGCAAAAAGGGACCAATTAAGCTGACAGAACTCATATAAAAGATAGCAAAATATATAAAAATAATTGAGTTTGTCAACTGACTAGAACTATCATTGTTAAAAGGGTTACTTTGAAAAAAAATGTATAAATATGAGAGACAAAATAGATTAGGATTTTATATTTAGGACCAAAATAAAAGTCAAACAGGGTCTTATATTAAAGACAAGAGGTAGTAGTACTGTAGCCTATACACATGTAGTGTGCCGTCATATATATTTAGTATTAAATATTCAAATGTATCAAAGACAAATGAGCATGTATACCTTCGCGAAAATTGTCAGAATTACGAGAGAGGGGTGCCTGCTGCCCTCTCTCTCCTCCCTCCTTCTCCACCATTTTCCCTTCCTCTCCAAGTATTTTTTTTTCTCTTGTTTCTTTTGATTTTTAGATTTTAGATTCAATGAGTGACATTTGATATCTTATGGGTGAAAAATGGAGCTATTCTCAATTTTTTATGATTTTTCAAAGATTTACATAAAAATCTGTGCTCTTAAGGGTGTGTTTGGTATGAGGGATTTGGGAGGGAGGGGAGGGAAGGGGAGGGATTTTAATCATTTTCCCTTGTTTGGCAACACACAAATTTTAGGAGGGGAGGGAAAATGTTTTAAAATTTCCCCTCCCCTCCCCTCCCTAACCTCCCCTCCAAAATTGGGAGGATTTGAAGGGAAAGGGCAATATTTTGTCATATTATGACTATTATGCCCATATTTTGTCATGGTGTAACCATTATGTCTATATTTTGTCATGTGTGACCATTATACCCACACCTTAAATAAAATAAGAGCAAAATTATCCATATTAAAATGTTTTTCCCTCCCCTCCCCTCTTTTTTTTATAAATCCAAACAAGATAATATTAAAATCCTTCCACTCCCCTCCCCTCCCCTTCCTTCCATTAAAATCCCTCCCCTCCCTTCCTCTCATTGAGCCAAACATACCCTAAATGTTACGTTGGTCTTTATACCGCAGCAGCCACAGTGCCCGGCGGAGCTAAACTAGACACCGGCCACCTGACCCTCGTATATGAGCCGCCATTCCAAACGTACTGTTCGCCATCTCATTGCTCATTACGGCCATGTTGATGTTCCTATCTATAATGACTAATTCAATGGTGATCGATCCTGATTTCTTTGGTCTGATTTGATTAGTTCAGATTCAATACTTACGTTTATCCACCTGTGTATGTTTATTGACTTGGTAGCATTATATTACATTCATAGCAATTTGTGTGCACGTGCGCGAGAAATTTAAGCCCAGTTGCATGCAGAAAATTGTTTTTATTTTTTGTTGCCTCGAGCCACTATTACGTTCAAACATATTAAAATGTATCGTAACAAGTGCTAAATAAAAAGTAAATGGCTAAACGCAAAAGTGAAATGAATATATATGGAACCACACTTTATTACATCCAAGCACCATAAAACATTAAATTACTCGCACACTAAATTAAGTTACTATATTTGTATCATATATGATCAAAATAACAAGTCAACAAGATCGGCTTGGAAGTGTCCAAATCGAGGATCAGCTTGCACACGTGGCACTTGGATACAAGCCAAAAATAGAAAGGAGAAAAAAAACTAAATTACGTAAGTATATGCATGTTTTTGTATATGTGTGGTGGGGAAATTCTGCAAAAAGGAGCAAAGAAGATTGTTATTCACAGGGGGATCAACATGCTCGGTGTTGGGGTTACAAAGGTGTGGAAAGCACACGTGGCACTTGGATACTGACGGCCGCCCACATCCAGTTTATTAATTACACAATAGTGTTACTATGAAACTGTGGATAATCAAGTCTGTGTTAATCAGGTTCACGTCAAAAACTGCTGATGTTTATTCTTTCCTTCCTAAAGAGAAAGCTTAATTAAAGGAATTGAAAATTGTTGAGAGAGACGGAAGATGCATCATTAGATTATGATACAGTACTGTAGCCTATACACGTGTACCAATCACAGAATGCCAACACACACGTTCTACCTGCATAAGCTTACTCCACAAGAAAGGAAGGGCACACGCCAACTTATAGAATATATATGCAATGACGGTAATGGACTCCGGCCCTATACATCTATATACATACATGTAATAGGGCCTGTGAGTTGTTGATCTTTAGCGTGTGAACCCAACCAAAAACAAAGATCCCTTTAGGTAGCGAGGGTACCAAAATAAAAGTTGAGTTGGAGTTTGGAAGAGAACAAAGAAATTTTTTTATTTGCAAAAAAAAAAACTACGAAAATAATTAATTGCATGGCTTTGGTCCGTAATTAATTGCTCAAATTCAAAATACAAAAAATTAAAGAGAGGATTTTAGCGGATTTAAGTAGGACTTAGAAGAGCCATATGAGAAATCATTTAGTTCAAGTGCTCGTTATATACAGCATTGAGCATTACATGCTTATGATTATTCCAATGGCGTATGGCTCTGGCCTGCAGGAGGCAGAAGAGCTAATTAATACGAGGAGTTGTTCAGCAGCTTCATCAACAGTTGAGAATCCGTAGTTCTCCTGAGTCATATATATCATTCTTCATAAAGCCTGATCGGAGCCTCTGAGTGAGTTAACTGGGAAACTGGGGTACTTCCTGGGGGTTAAGGGCTGTTTTTATTCTATAAATTCTAGTAATATTTTTTATAAATATAATATCATTCTGCAAATGATAATATTCTGTAATTAATAAATTATTATAATAATATTAGCAGTCTACTGGTTTAAAGGAAAAGAAAAGAAGATAATTACGGTAAAAAAAATAACGATAAAGAAGAAGAGTATAGAGATAAATTTCTTCTGATAATTTATTGCTGCAATACAATTGCTATATTCAGCTTAGTTACGCTGATATTGACTGAGGCAAAGACAAACTCTCAGTAAGTAAAGGAGTGAATAAACAAAAAGAAAAAAGAAGAATCAAACAATAATAAATATTTATTCCAGATTTTCTGCTACCCTTGATCAGCTCGATTATTACTGAAGTTATCTCCTATTCCGATATGCTGAATCGGATTCTGGAACATATCTCCAACAAATACAACTTCAAAAAAAAAAAAATCAAATTATGTTGTCTTCAGCAGAACACACAAAGAGCTCGTGAAAAGCGCCATTGAGAAGCTGAAGAAAACCTCAGAATCATCCTCAGTGGACGGTGATGGCCGCTCTAAATGTCACGGTGGTCTTTATACCACGGCAGCCACAGTGGCCGGCGGTGTCAAACAAGACCCCGGCCACGTGACAGTACGCTCGAATATGAGCCACCATTTCAATTGATGTTCGCCATCTCATTACACATTACGGCCATGTTGAATGACTTCAACAGCAATTTATCTTTCCAGTTTGTATCCAAAAAAAAAAAAAAAGACTTCAATATTAATTTGTGAGCACGTGCGAGAAATTTAATTAAGTCCTCTTACATGCGGAAAATTGTTTTTATTTTTTTGTTGCCTGAAGCCACTATTACCTTCAAACATATTAAAATATATCGTAACAAGTGCTAAATAAAAAGTAAATGACTAAACGCGAAAGTGAAATGAATATATATTAAACCACACTTTATTAATCCAAGCACCATAAAATATTAAATCACTCGCACACTAGATTAAGTTACTACATATATACCATGCATATAATCATAAGTCAACAAGATAGGCTTGAGAGCGTCCAATATCCACTGTTCAAATCAGGCCGAGGCATGTAACAAGTGACGAGGATCAGCTTGCCTGCACATATCAACGACCTTGCCTAATTCCCCTTTCATGGCACAGAGTTCGAATAGTATCTTCTTGTTGCTCTCCTGCCCCATGGCTAAGAGATTGATGATATGATCTACTTTATTGGCCGGCCATTGACGTCAAGCGATATGGGCCTGCCACTGCTTTTGGGAACATGCTTAAAGGTTGCACATAAAAGATCAATGTAGAGTGGAAATTGTGCCAAAACAAAAAGAGTCACGGGGAGACAAGTCACCACATATATTGGAAGAGCAAGATAATGGAGTGTATCCTTGAGCACGAAGAAATGTCCCGCACAGAATGACACCAACATGGAAGCAATCGACACGAACAAGGAAGTCAAACCTATCAGCAACTTCCTGGGCAAGACTTTGTCAAAGTCTTGCTCTTGAAATCGAGAAGTGAGTATAGATAGGAACATCACCAGTGCCGTGATGGAGAAGCCCAGGGCTATGAGTGATGAGATGGCGAACAGTTGGAATTCTGACTCACCTTCAAGTGTTGGTTGGCCTGTTTCTTGATTGACTCCGCCGGGCACGGTGGCTGCTGTGGCAAAGGCCACCGTGGCAATTAGTGCGGCTACCAGCGAGCATGATTCTGAGGTTTTGTTCAGCCACTCGGCGGCCCTTTTTTGGAGGTCCTTGTGAGTTCTGGTGAAGACAACGTCTGGGTTTTCGTTCTTCCTGTTGTGTCGGCCCATGAAATCAGGCGGCGTTGTCTCTTTCACGAACTGTATCAGCCATTACATTTAAATAATCAGAATTAAGATATTACATTACACATATAAATATATATACATATATGTACGTGTATGCGCGCGCGCGCGCGCATCAACTAGAAGTTATACACATGTAAGTATCTTGTTATTACCCTGTACCACTTGCGTTCCCATTGCATTTGAAGAGCTTCGCCAGGGATGAGCCAATGTTCGTCGTCACGAAGTGAGGCTGCCAAGTGCAACGCGCTGTTTTCATCCTCATCCACCTGATGGAATAGGCTCTCTTTGTAAATATTCTTCTTCAGCAAGAACTGATACACTTTAGGTTGGCTGTGTTCAGCTGCCAGTAGCACTATGTTCTTCTTATCTTCATTTAGATCGTAAATGGCCACGGGAAACAACTCCAAAATTTTCTCTATTATTTCCATCACACCGTTCTTTGCAGCCAGTAATATAGGAGTCTCCGTTGTCATCCTTGTTGGATTCCGCTCATCGTTACCTTTGTCCTTGGCGCTGCTGGGTTTGATCGATGCTGGATGGGTGTCATCGCGTGACGACGTCATATTGCTGCGTTCGTCTTCTGGGGGGCTTCTCCCATCATTCTCGTACTCATACGAGGGAGCGTCATGAAGAAGTTGTTCGACTATCTGGACAGACCATGTGTGGTTCTCCTTTATTCGATATATATTCCTCAATGGTTCATATCCTGGGAAAATACAAAACATAAAATAAGCATATATGAATCAAAAGTGTAGTGCGCCGTCATATATATTTAGTGTTAAATATTTAAACATGTCAAACACAAATAAGCAAGCATACCTTTCCCGAAAATTGTCCCAATTACCAGATAAAAAAACTTAACCAAATCGCAGCAGGTTTGGTAATTATCAGGAAATAACGGATTTGCCTGACCTCCATCTTCTCGTGATCCTAATTAAGCAGTGGTACGAGAGTTTTCAGTTGTACTCACATGTGCAATTTTAATTAGTGCCAAAATTCAAAAGACCTCTCACCTCCCGCTCCTGGATCTTCCGTGTCTCTTTCAACAGGTTTAGAAATATTGCGCAATACTGGAAACAGAAAACACAATAATTTAAGTCGCAATTATACATGCCAACAAATTCTCAGGGAGGGCATCGAGGGAAAAAATTATACAGATGGTGTGTAAGATTCGAACGTAAAAGTACACACCAACTTTCACCGCTTTTTTTATTTGCCCGTAAGCTTCCCGAAATATATTGTAGTTGTCAGGACAAGCGTGGCTATCAATGTCCTCAGCTGCACTTGTGCTTTTCCGACATTCATCTTCAAGATTTTCTACGGCCTTAAGCTTCTCAAGATAAATACCTTCAAGACAAATTAAGTGCCGATGAATCAATCAAATACTCTTTTTGCCCTCAGTTAAAAGTGACCACGCATGACGGATGACGATAATTAAATGCTTACGTACAGTGATAGATGATGGTTTCCAGCAGTCCAAGGCGGCTTCCGCTTCTGAAAGCACACGTCTTTGATGCTAGCAAATGCAGAGGAGAGCATCCTTCCTCGTTCATCCAATTCGCAAGCTCTTCATACAGATGATTTATCTGAAATGCAAGACCTGCATAGCAAAGCATTAATTAAATAATGTTATAGTCGATTAGAATAAACAACATACATATTATAGAGAAGCTAGCTATAGTGGAGGGAGTTGAGAATGAATGAATTTAGACGTACCAAAATAGTTACCATTAATTGCAGCGTGAAGGATGGTGTCCCCGTTTTTCCTTCTACAGTTACCAAGGAAGGGATCAGCACTGATGTTAGGGTTTCTGATGTGATGAAGGCAAAGAAAAGCATGCTTTTTGCCATGGAGAGCGGCGAAGAAGAGAGGCGTCTCGCCGTCAACGTTCCGATCATCAACTAAGGTAGGCTCCACGCTAGCAATGATGTGACATATCCTGGCATTGCCCATGACAGCCGCTACATGCAAGGCAGTGTTGTTTCTCTTATTAGCAGTTCGCAGAGCCTTTTTGCGTTCCTCTTCATTCGCGGACATGGCGTGGACCATCTGCTTCACCACGTGCTCCTTCCCATCAGCGACTGCTACGTGCAAAGCAGTGTGTCCTGAGCGAGTAATTCTGGCCTTGTGAAGCCCCTCATCTTGCTTGTACATATCAATGACCTCCTCCCATTTCCCTCTCATGGCACATGAGAATAGTTCCTTCTTGTTATTGTTCCCCGGCTCCATGGCTTTTTGTAGTTTGTATTGTGTGCCAATTTCTGTTCAGTGATGGCTCGTTTAAACACTGATCGGCTTATTACGAGATTGATGATCATTGGCCAGAGTTTGCTGGGTTATCAAGTTATTCGTCAAACAAGCAAAAAACAAATAAGGGATAATTAATCTCCGGGTCCTTATAGTTTCACCTGATTTTTAATTAGGTCCTTATAAAATTTTTCCTTTTTATCAGGTCCTTTTAATTTTACATGTTTTTACTTAGGTCCCTCCTTATAGTTTCACTTATTTTTTAATTAGGTCATTTGTCATTTTTAAAAAATTATTTATTAACTTTATTCTTTAAAATTAATTTCATTTTAGACTAATATTATATAATTGGACAAAATAATTAATGTAATCATTTAGTAATTAATAATTAATCAGAATAATTAATTATACTTAAATATAAATTATTTATAATTATATTCTAATTTTAGAAAATTTATTACTATAATTTGAATTTTATAATTATAAAAATCTGAATTGAAAAATAAATAATATTTTTTTAACTAAAAATTTAAAAGAATATTAACATAAGATTTTTATGATAATTTATTATTTTTAGAATATTATTATTTATAGAATAAAGAATAAAAACTACAAGGACTTAATTAAAAATAAAGTAAAACAATAAGGATCTGATAAAAAGAAAAAAATTATAAGGACCTGATTAAAAACATGTGAAAGTATAAAGACCTGATAAAAAGAAAAAAAATTATAGGGACCTGATCAAAAACCAATTAAGACTATAAGGACTTGCCTATTAATTATCCCCACAAATAAAGCAAAAGAATTATTATTTTACCAGCCGAAAATAGAAAAGACAATGGTACGTAACTATGCATGTTTTTATATATTTGTGGTGTGGAAATTCTGAAAAAGAGAACAATGAGGAATGTCATTCACAAACGGATCAACATCCCTCTTGTTTTAGGTGCTTAGTGGTAGGGAACAAGTGTGAAAAACAAGAGTCAGTAAAGATGGAGAACGAGGGTATATAGAAACAGCGACAGGACACGTGGCACTTGGAAACCGAAGCCCACCTCCACTTTAATGACACAGTACGTAGTTACTGTGAAACTGCTGTTAGTCAGGAACTCGTAATCTTTCCTGAAGAGAAAGCTAAAGGAATTGAATATTGCGGCCAAAGACGCACTGGATTATTATAAAGCATTGGAGCCTATTCAACAAGGAAAAGAGGGAACACGTGAACTATATAATAAAGAAAGTACAGAGTATCCAGATATTTAACACACACTGGAGTAGTAAATAGCAATGGACTCGGGTCTTTTTTTTGAATATTTCTACATAACATTAGAATTAGATTTTATATAAGTTCCTAAGTTAGTTTAATTAATAAAAACTAATAACGGTAAGAAAAAAATAGATTAATGGGGTTTTATATTTAAAACTAAAATTCCCAACGAGCTCATACATTTAAAAATTAAATTTGTGAGTGACTTTATTTTGAGAGTTAAAAAAAATGAGTTTTTTCGAATACTAAACACGTTGTAAAATCATTTGAATTGAAGCACCACATCTAGCAGATCATAACGTTCTTGAGATCCAAATAAAAAAGCTAACATCCCGGCCCCCGAATTTTCCGTTTTTATGCCTTACATTAGATTTATTTCAAAAAGATTTTGAATAACCAAAGAGAGAAGATCATCCAAAATCATCCACACCCCTCCCATAACCAATTTTGCCCTTTTTTACTGCCCCGTAATATGGCGTTTTCCATGTCCTCCTCCGGCTTTACATACATATGTGATTTGGGCTTCCTCTTTGGGTCATTTTCTGAGCCCACTTCTTTGGGAATCTTAACACCATCCTTTCACATCATTCCATGTTCCTTCTTCATGAGCTCGCTCACCGCCTCGTCTAGTTTTTCTCTCATAGGACCCTCCAGGTCACTTAATACCTTTCTTGCACGAGTCCAGCCGAACAAGTAACATGGACAGTGGTGGGAGAAGAGGATAAGTGAATAATTTTTATCTACAATTTATGAAGATTTCTCCTATAAGTACTAACCTCTCTGCATTGACAAATAAGATTTTTTTTATTATATTCATTCTATAAATTCTAATAATGTTTTTTTTATCAATATAATATCATTCTATAAGTGATAATATTCTATAATTAATAAATTATTATAATAATTGTATCAATCTATTGGTTTAATGGAAAAGAACAAAGGTAATATCAGTTAAAAATAACCATAAATAAGAAGAGTATAGAGATAAATTGCTTCTGATTTTATTGCTGTAATACAATTGCAATATTCAGCTTGGTTACACTGATATCGACTGACGCAACGACAAATAAGAAAAATCAACCAATAATAAATATTTATTTCAGATATTTTCTGCTACCCTTGATCGGCTAGATTATTAGGGTTGTTCTAGCTCGGTTATTGAAGTTATCTCTGTTATGCTGAATCAGATTCTGGATCATATCATATCTTCCAACAAATACAACCTGAGTAAACGAAACATAAAATTATGTTGTCTTCACCAGAACACATACACAAAAGCTCATGAAAAACGCTGTTGAGCGGCTGAATAAAACCTCAGAATCATGCTCAGCGGAAGGTGGTGGCCGCACTAAATATTACAGTGGTCTCTATACCGCAGAAGCCACAGTGCCCGACGGAGTTAAACAAGACACCGGCCACCTGACACTCAAATATGAGCCACCATTCCAACTGTACTGTTCGCCATCTCATTACTCATTACGGCCGTGTTTATGTTCCTCTCTATAATGACTTCGATGGTGATCGATCCTGATATCTTTGGTCTGATTTGATTAGTTCAGATTCAATACTTGCGTTTATCCACCTGTGTACGTTTATTGACTTGGTAGCATTATATTACATACATAGTAATTTGTGCGCGAGAAATTTAAGCAACGCTTAGTTACATGCAGAATTTTTTTTTTCCCCGGTTGCCTCGAGCCACTATTACCTTCAAACATATTAAAATCTACCGTAACAACTGCTAAATAAAAAGTAAATGGCTAAAAGCAAAAGCGAAATGAACATATATTCAACCACACTGTATTACATCCATGCACCATAAAATATTAAATTACTTGCACACGAAGTTAAGTTACTACATATATATCATATATAATAGTAAGTCAACAAGATCGGCTTGAGAGTGTCCAGTTTCCACTGTTCAAATCAAGCGGAGGCATGTAACAAGTGACGAGGATCAGCTTGCCTGTACGTCTTGATGACCTTGCCTCCTTCCCTTTTCATGGCACATGAGAGTAGTGCCCTGTTGTTGCTTTCCTGCTTCGTGGCTTAAGAGATTGATGATATGATCTACTTTGTTGGGCCACAGTTTGCTGAGGATCGCCATTGACGTCAAGCAGCATGGGCCTGCCGCTACTTTTGGGAACATGCTTAAAGGTTGCCGATAAAAGGTCAATGTACAGTGGAAATTGTGCCAGGACAAAAAGCGTTGCAGGGAGGCAGGTCACCCCATATAATGGAAGAGCAAGATAATGAAGTGTATCCTTGAGCACGAAGAAATGTCCCGCACAAAATGAAACCAACATAGAAGCAAGCGACAGGAACAAGGAAGTCAAACCTATCAGTAACTTTGTGGGCAAGACTTTTTCAAAGTCTCTCGCTTGAAATCGAGAAGTGAGTATAGATAGGAACATCACCAGGGCCGTGATGGAGCAGGCCAGGGCTACGAGTGATGAGATGGCGAACAGTTGGAATTGTAACTCACCTTCAAGTGTTGGTTGGCCTGTTTCTTGATCGACTCCACCGGGCACGGTGGCTGCTGTGGCAAAGGCCACCGTGGCAATTAGTACGGCCACTACCGAGCATGATTCTGAGGTTCTGTTCATCCACTCAGCGGCTCTTTTTTCGAGGTCCTTGTGAGTTCTGGTGAACACAGCATCTGGGGTTTCATTCATCCCGTTATATCGGCCAAAGAAATCAGGTGGCGTTTTCTTTTTCACGAACTGTAATAGCAATTACATTCAGATCATCAGAATTAAGATATTGCATATTATAAATATAGACTCACGCACACAAATTGGAATACATGTACATAGTATCTTGTTATTACCCTGTACCACTTGAGTTCCCATTGCATTTGAAGAGCTTCGCTAGGAATGAGCCAATGCTCGTCGTCGCGAAGTGTGGCTGCCAAGTGTAATGCGCTGTTTCCCTCCTTATCCACCTGATGGAATAGGCTCTCTTTATAAATATTCTTCTCCCCCAAGAACTGGTACACTTGAAGTTGGTTGTGTTCTACTGCCAGTAGCACAATGTTCTTCTTATCTTCATTTTGATCGTAAACAGCTGCGGGAAAAAACTCCACAATTATCTCTACGATTTCCATCACACCATTCTTTGCCGCCACTAATATAGGAGTCTCTGCTGTAGGTTTTTTAGGACTTCGCTTATCTTCTGCACAATTTAAATGCTTCTTGTGACAGCACATAGTACCTTTGTCGTTGGTACTGCTAGGTTTGACTGGCGATGCGTCGGAGGGGGCATCCTGTGGAGACGTCGTATTGTAGCCTTCTTGAGGTTTTCGTCCATCATCCTCGCACTCATCTTCTGCACAATTTAAATGCTTCCTGTGACAACACATAGTACATTTGTCGTTGGTGCTGCTAGGTTTGACTGGTGATGCGTCGGAGGTGGCATCCTGCTGTGATGACGTCGTATTATTATAGCCTTCTCCCCGAGGGTCTCCCCCGTCATCCTCGTACTCATGCAATTGCAAGGAAGGGGAGTGAAGAAGTTGTTTCACTATTTGAGCAGACCATCTATGGTTCTGCTTTTGCCGATATATCCTCATCAATCCCTCAGATCCTGGGGAAAATCCAAAATATATATAACAAGCATCTATAAATTAAAAGTGTCGTGTGCACCGTATTACCTTTGATCCTTAATATAATCTGGAGAGATTAAAAAAGTTATCGTATTTTTATAAATAAAAAAATCAATTATGTAGCAATTTACAGTAAGTCAAATTAGTTTAAAGGGAAAAAAACAAATAAAAATACTTTAAAGTTATTTAGTAACCTTTTAATCTCTTTAAATTAATTAATTGAGTTTTATATTAAGAATAGTAGATAGTGTTAAATGCTCCAAACACAAATAAGCATATATATATATATATATGTGCCTTTCCCAAAAATTGTCACAATTACCAGATAAAAAGAGTTGATCAAGTCGCAACAGGTTTTGTAATTAGCTGGAAGTAACGGCTTTGCCTGCTCTATGTCCACTCGCGATCCTAATTAAGCGGGTCTTCATTTTGTGCTCATCACAATGATGAGTGCCATGTGCTCATTAGTTTAATGTAATCTAGATCATCCAAAATCTAATATAGATGGTTCAGATTTAAAATTTTTAATATATAATTTTTTCAATAATAAATTTAACTTTTAAAGATATATTACTCATGATATTATATTTATTTTAAATTCTGTATTTATTAAAATAAAAAATTGATTAAAATATATAAAAAATTTAAATTCAATCTGAACCATCTAAAATCAATTTGGATTGTCCAAATTACGATGAGCATTTTCATCCTCATCATTGTGATGAGCATGGAAGCAATGGTATGAGGGTTTAATTTTTCAGTAGTACTAGCATTTGTGCAATTTCAATTAATGCCAAAATGCAAAAGATCTCTCACCTCCGGCTCCGGGATTTTCCGCATCTGCTTCAGCAGGTTTACTGCGCGGGCAGAATACTGGAAATAGAAGACACAGTAATGGAAGTCGAAATTATATATGCCAACAAGTTCTTAGGTAGGGCATGGAGGAAAAATTGATGTAGATGGTGTAATTAAATTTATATACCATAAGCGACCGCTTTCTTTATTGGCGAGAAAAAGTCCCACACCATAGTATAGTTGTCAGGACAATCATGGCTATCACTGTGATGCGGTGGATTTTCTGCCTCAAGCTCCTCAACACATATACCTTCAAGACATGCAGACAAACATATCCGGTACGCCGATCAATGAATCAATCAAAGAAGTAGGCTTTTTTAATCCCCGTATAGTTCACTAGCCATGCATGAAGAATAACGACACGAATTAAATGCTTATTACAACATACAGTGGTAAATGATTGTTTCCATCCATCCAAGGCGGCTTCCGCTTCTGAAAGCACAAGGCTTTGATGCTAGCAAATGCAGAGGAGAGCACCCTTCCTCGTTCACCCAATTCGCAAGGTCTTGATACAGATGAATTATCTGAAATGCAAGATCTATACAGCATAGCATTAATTAAATAATGTTATAGTTGATCAGAATAATCAATAAAACAGAGAAGCCAGATAGCTCGTCGAAGGAGTTGAGGAGGGCGGGAAAAAGGGAATGAACGAATTTGTACGTACCAAAGTAGTCACCATAGATTGCAGCGTGAAGGATAGTGTCACCATTGTTCCTTCTACAGTTACCATAGAAGAGAGGAGTATGGACGTCAGGGTTTCGGATGCGATGAAGGCAAAGAAAAGCATGTTTCCTGCCTCGGAGAGCGGCCACGAAGAGAGGCGTCTCGCCGTCAACGTTACGATCATCCACTAAGGTGGGCTCCACGCTGGCAATGATGTGACACATTCTGACATTGCCCATGGCAGCCGCTACATGCAAAGCAGTGCTGTTTCTATAACCAGGAGTTCGCAGAGCCTTCTTGCGTTCCTCTTCATTCGGGGACATGGCGGCGAGCATCTGCTTCACCACGTGCTGCTTCCCATCAGCGACTGCTATGTGCAAAGCAGTGGGTCCTGAGCCAGTAATTCTGGCCTTGTGAAGCCCCGCATCTTGCCTGTACATATCAATGACCTTGTCCCATTCCCCTTTCATGGCACATGAGAATAGTTCCTTCTTGTTATTGCTCCCCTGCGCCATGGCTTTACGTTGTTTGTATTGTGTGCTAATTTCTGTTCGGTGACAGCTCGTTTAAATACTGATCAGCTTAAGAGATTGATGATGATCTACTTCATTGGCCAGAGTTTGGTGGGTTATCAAGCTATTCCTCAAACAAGTGAAAAACAAATGAAGCCAAAAAGAACGATGAGGAGTGTCACTCACAAGCGAATCAAACATCCTTTTTGTTTTAGGCGCGTAGTGGTAGGGAACAAGTGTGAAAAACAAGAGTGAGCAAAGAAGAAGAAAGAGGGTATATGGAAGCAGCGACAGGACACGTGGCACTTGGAAACTGAAGCCCACCTTCATTTTAATTACACAGTTAAACTGTTGCTGGTCAAGAAACTCGTAATCTTTGGCAGAAAGAAAAAAAGAGAAACTCGTAATCTTTCCGAAAGACAAAGCTAAAGGAATTGAATATTGCGGCTCTCTCACTCAACCAAAGATGCATTGGACTGTTATATAGGAGTAGCACTGCAGCCCATACATGCGTACCAATCAGAGAATGCCAACGCCACCCGTTCTGCAAGCATCGGCTTATTCGACAAGAAAGGAAGGGGACACGTGAACTGTATAATAAATAAGTATAGAATGGACTCGGGGCTTGCATTTGTATTATCAGAGCCAGTGAGTTGCTGATCTTTATTTGTTGATCTTCAAAATATCTGCCACCTGATTAACCCAACCATGGTTTCTTTGATGACCAAAACATTAACAATATCAAAATATCAGCAATAAATTTGATATCATATTTTGACCCAGTTCTTAAAATTTCGTACAAAAAACGACAGATTTTATTTTATCCGAATGGCTTCATATAATATACATAAAATCAACAGTGGACTTAATGCACAACAGGCAGGCATAAGAGAATACAACAACATGAAGAGAAATTAATTTCAAATACATTAAAGCATCGGCATTCTTATTCTTAATTACTTGAAAAATAACTCGAACGCAGCATCAGACCAAAATAAAAGCTAAGCTTAACGAATAATGATTATTCCAATGGTGTGGCTCTGTCCCTATCAAAGAAGACGCCGGTGGGACCTGTAGGAGGCAGAAGAGCTAATCTCAGGAGATGTTCAGCAGCTTCATCAACAGTTGAGAACCCATAGTTCTGAGTCATATCAGTCTTCACAAATCCTGGAGACACCGAGTTAACTCGGAAACTCGGGTACTTCTTGGAGATTAATCTTGTGTACACATTAAGGGCTGTCTTGGCCACTGTATTGGCAGGCGTCATGGTTGGCCATCCTTTCTCATTCCATGTTCCTTCTTCATAGTCCTTGATGAACTCACTCACCACCCCATCAAGTTTTTCTCTTGTAAGACTCTCCAAGTCACTTAGTACCTTTCTGGCACGTTCATTTCTTATGAGCTGCACATCAACAACAAGTCGTACAATTCATAAGTCATAAACAAAATATTAAAATTAAAACTGGAGAGTGCATTTAAGTACCTTGATGAGTCCAGCAAGAGAGGTGACATTGAGAATGGTGGGACAATTGGATAATTGAAGCAGAGGAAGGAGGGCTTCAGTCACTCCAACAGCACCAAAGTAATTAGTTTCAACACATTGCTTTGACATCTCCACATTGCATTTTACTATTTCATCCCAATCTATGTTCTCCCCACTAATCTGTAACACCTCATTCACATTACACTCCTAATCATTTCCATGTATCAATTACCAAAAAGGAAAGTTATTATCAAAGTATATTTTTCAAAGATTTACTCTTGAATCTTAAAGGAAAAGTTCCTGCAAAGTATTCCTAAGGGCGGCATGTCTTGTAAATGACTGCAGATTTGCATTTTATGTCAAGTGATGAGCTTACTTTTTTGAACAAAGCTTCGCCGTTCACTGTTCCCGGAGAGACACCTGCATTGTTTACCTGCACCAAAATATGCCAAGCATGGATTTATATAATAAATTAAATTATTCAAATATATTATCGGAACATAACATTAGACTATACCAAGATGTCAAGTTTGCCAAAGGTGGTGGTGATGAAATGAGTTAAGGAAGCAATGCTTGAAGGATCAGTGACATCAAGCTGATGAAACACCAGAGAGTCTGACGACACACCAAACTGTTTGAGCTTCTCAACTGCTCCCAGCCCTCTCTTCTCATCTCTTGCTGTGAGCACCACCGTCACCCCTCTTGCTGCCAACTTCTTGCATATTCCATACCCAAGCCCCTTGTTGGCTCCTGTCACAACGGCATACCTAAAACAAAGTTCTACTTTCTGAGACGTGATGTTGCATTTCATAATACATACTTGAATATATATATATATATATATATATATATATATATATGATTCAGTCATTTTGAATACCAAATGCTAAGTCATATTAAAGGAAGCTAATCAAGTACCTTTTTGCTTCTTCTCCCATAATTGATCAGGCTTTTGGTTTCTAGCTTCTTCTTACAATGAGGCTACTGCTACAACTTGGCTTCCTTTTTACTTTCTTTGTAATTTGACGGTACATAAGCATACATATATACTTCGTCTGCCCGTTTATATTATACGTCCAATACGTACAATCATTGAATTTTCAATCATTATACCAGTGCCCCAATTGTCTTCATCATTCACAACTTGAGAAAATATTGAAGGTCATGAAGAGAACAAAAGCTGATTGCTACCTTTTGAATTATGCATCAGATGAAGAATAAATTAGGCATATTATTGTACAGCTCTTGTTTCATCATTTCAAGGACCACACGAGTAGCTTCTTTTTAGACATATCGATCGTTGATAAGATTCCTTTTTCTCTGTCTTAAAAAAATAAAAAAAAATTCCCTTATTTTCCCTCTCATGTCAACAACCACTTGATTAATTATATTATCTTTTTCGACGAATTTGGCGAATATCTGGCTATGCCATTTCATATAGACCATCAAATTTAATATAACTTGTCTTATCCCGTTATTTCTTTCTTATTCTTTATTTCTCTCTTTGGTCATAGCTTATAATCAAATTGAGTTTGGGACCACTCAGACCAATACAAACCCTTCACTTTCCATGTGTGTGAGTTGTCTCTTATGTGATAATCGACTAAGAACTAATATCATTTGAAAGCAGAAGTGAGCAGTAATTCATAGGCTGTAAAGTAATTTTAGTAACAATAATCCTAAGTTGTTTCTCTATTATATTCGCTAAATTACTGTAAGCTTTTGCTCTTGTCGTTTATGTCATTCATATCAGGCGAGAACTCTGACAATTTATACTGAATCAGATTTTGAACCAAATTCTCGTAAGAACACTTGGGGCTTTATTAGTCGCTACAACCTGAGAATTTTTGCTGAATACTCAATAGCTCTTCCTTGTTATAATTGGTAAATGGGAACATCCTCAATCCATTGCGGACTATGGATCTACAAGTCTGTAGTTCATAATTAAAAGCATTTCAAAAGTTGCGTGCAATTGACTTAAAGCGTGTTCTTCCTCATTATATCGCCCCTAATCAAATTTCATTTCTACAAGCGAGAGAGCCAACACAAATTGTTAGGAACTACAAATTGGTGGGGACAAACTGGAACCACTGGCTTCTGGGATCGTCCAAACAAGTAGGATCATCTAGTATACAGATGCATCTTCTTGTCACAATTGTTGAAGAGTTTGCGTCCTGGTGCAGGCACAATTGCTTGCCATGCTGGTCCACCGTAGCCAAGTGAAGCTTTGAGAGTGACGCAGACTTCCAAGAACTACTCTGCTTGCTCTGGCAATTATTACCATCAGACACGACAACAGGAAGCCCTTCACCTGATGCAGTTAGGCATTTGTTCGTACCACTTAAGAGAATCTGAGATCCATCTTCATGAACCCATCTCTCGATCTTGTTCTCACAACTTCCCACTTCAAGCTCATTCTTCTGGTTAACGTGGACACACTGGCCACTCAGTGGGTAGTACAAGATATTTGCAATAGGGAATTTGGAAGTTGGATCTGCATTATAATTAAGTATAGAGACAGATTAAATTGAATAAAAGATGGACCTGCACATCATTTGAATCAACTACCAATATTGAATGGATGGTTAGTCCTACTTCCCTAAATCAAGAGGCATACCTTGATTCTTCCTTTGAAGGAGTTGGAAGAGTTGGGTGAAGTTTGGGAACCTCAGATTTTGCCAGGAGGCATCCATGACACCAAATGTCTCCTCAAGTTGAACCTGGTCTTCTCTCAGGTAATAGCCACCTTGCAAAGCCCAGAGGCCCCAATCCAGGTCTCTCCCAACAAGGTAGGTTTGAAGGCAAGTCAAGTACTTGTTGTCTGCTTCAGTAGAACCTTCTTGGTCGAACCCAAATTCTGTGAAAATCAAAGGAAAAGCATTGTTGCCACGAGTAAGGAACCCCGCTCTGTGGTCTATGCCGTTAATGGCTCTGGCACAAATTCTGTTCAATGGCTGCTTAGTCCAGATATCTTTCAGCTTTAGTGTTCCAATTCCAGACCATGAATACAAATGTGTCTCAAACACCAATTTCCTGCCCAAACCTAAGTGAAGAGGCCTTTTCTTTAGGAACTGAAGCTCAGTGTCGTAGTTGAGGCCTGAGACAACCACCAGCACATTTGGGTTCGCCCTGTGAACTGCTGTTGCTCCTTGGCTCATATAAATGTACCAATCACCCACGTATTGACGAGGACCATGGAGTTCATTCCTCAAGCTCATGGCCACCACCTGTTGGCCAATACCAATTTTAATACTTTTAACCAACATGCCTAGTTGACGTTATTAAGATAATGATATGCACTTTATGCATTTACCCGTACTTCAATTTAATTTCGAATATTTGGACCCAAAAAAATTTAATTTCGAATAATTGCTGATCAAAAAATAATAATTTCAAATAACTTTTGGGCTCACTTATTAGAATAGAAAAATAAAATGGAATAGAAAATCTAATTAGATAAAAAAAAATTATCATCTTGTAGATTAAAATTATTTCTGTTAATTTTCTTATTTTAAAATTATTTAAATGAAAAATAAAATATAATTATAAGCCAAGACATATCAAATCATCGTTAACAGAAAATAATAATAATCCAAATGAAAATTAATATTTTGTATTTGAAGGATCGAATTTAATATTTATATATGAAAAAAAATTTAATATTTATTTCTTAAGTTACTTACTAGCATAACTATCTAGTATCCAATGTCTAATGGTACTGTTATATTGTTTTCAAATTTTTATGCAAAGTAATATAAAAATGTTTTTTTTTTTTTTGAAAAAAGATTCAATTCATAGGAACAAGATACGTACGGCGGAATTCCCAGAAAAGCGTTGGGCTGCCAAGGTGAGGCCCTTCACCCACTCGTTGGGATCGAAGTGCCTGTCATTGAAGAAGCCATTCTCGTCGTCATCGGCGCAGCACCATTTGGGATCGCTCACATGATTATCCAGCAACACCTTCACCTTCTGATTCCCAAGCTCCCGCACCACTTCTTCAAACGCCTCCACATGCGTCTTGTTCAGCGCCCACGGATTGTTCTTCTTAATCCCTTCCACCGTCTCCGGAATGTCCAATTCCTCTAGGGTTTTTCCCGCATTGCGATCCATGTAGCGAGTCCACATGTAGATCGCGTACGTCAGACGCACGCAATTGAACTTGTACTTCACTATTTGAGCCACCATCTCCTTCAATGGCCGCTTGTCCAGACCTTCTGGAAGCATCGGCTGAAGGTGTCCCGCCCAGTTGCCGCACACTAGTTTGGCTCGTTCGCCATTGAAGTCGTCCATGATCCATCGGCTTTGGGTTGAGAGGGGATAAGCATTGGAATGCTGAGATGTGAGGAGAGCAGAGAAAGCGACGAAGAAAAACAGAGCAGATCTTAATGTTCTTCCCACCATTGTTGCTCGATGACGATTCTCATGAACGTAATGGTATGTGTGCTTTAAATAGAGATTTTGGAATCTGAAATAACAAATTTTCCAAGTTTGGTTGCAATTCTGATCGTAATCCACGTATGTTCCTTGTAGGATATGTATAATTGGAGATAGTTAATTATTCTAGGGATTCATTCCTCATTGTCTATCCCGATACATGCAGACTTCAGTAGTTTGGTTCATGGACCAACTAATAGGGGAAGGAATTATGTGAGGAATATTATTTGCAAACTGAGATTGCAATGAAATTAAATTTTGTCAGTATGCCTCTGTTTCCAACTGATTAACCATATCGATGACCTGGTCTTTTTCCCAACTGAAACTTCATTGTATTATGGGCTGTGGAACTCCTCATCTCGTGATCTCCGAATACGGCGACCAAGTATGCCTTATTTACACTTTGAAGCCCGTTTTCACTTGTTAACCAAATCATTGACCAAGTACTTCGTTCTGTTTATACAGTTTATTGGCAGAAAGAGATAGAATTTTTTTTTTTAAAATTCTTCTTAATATAAGTTATCTTATTAAACTTATTATATAAATGTTGAATTTTACCTTTAATTTTTTTTAAAAAATATTAAATGAGAATAACATTGAAAAGTTATTAAATTTTAAAACAGAATTAATTTTCATGAAATATGTTCAAGGTGTCTTGTAAGACAAAAGGAGCATGCCTGATTATGTGAACTGATAAGTTGTCTCTTGATGCTGAGTTCTTCTCCAAACTCATGGTGGGTTAGCATTACTTTTTAGAAAATAAAATCACGACTCAAAACTTCGACAGTGATATGCCTCAGCAAACGCTGGCCCAAAAAAAAAAAACATAAACTAAACAGTGAATGTAAATTGGTAAATAAAAAAAATTGAATAATTCATATCAAAGCATTTTTAAGTATAATGTTATACTATAGCTTATAGTAGTATTTGCTACCAGCTAATTCTGAATTTAATGTTTAGTATGCTCCCTTTTTCTAAATATTTTAAAATACATCTTTCAAATTCAAGAGATATTCGAGACTTTCTTTCATTATCCCCGCACGTCTCATTGTCGCCGAAAAGATTTTTAAAATTTGTCAACGTTGAATCTCTGAAAAGATTTTAAAATTTGTCAACGTTGGCCCAAAGTGTTTTAGGTAAATAACAATAACAGTCAACAATGGTGATCTGAACTTTGAGATAATCTGATTAATGAAAGTTCAACTAATCTTTTCTAGTCATACATTAACCAACAAAAAGCAGAAGGGGACAAGTGTTGTGAGCACATCAAAGAGCAATTGCCAATGCTCATGACAGGTAATTTTGACATACTAAACAACCTTTCTATACATGTACGATGGAATGAAATAAAAAATAAAATAAGTGGAGTTTTGGATCATATTCTTTAACTACTATTGACAAATAACAATAAAGAGTTAATGCCATTTTTAATTCTTGAAATTTATTTCATTTTAGTTTTGATTCTTAAAATTTAATCTCATTTTGATTTTTGTCATTATTTCAA